AAAAAAAAAAAAAAAAAAAGGAGAATCGTAACGATCGTAGAGTATCGATGATAAAAAAATAAAAGAAGTAAAATAAAATATAACGTAAAGCGTATCTAAACGGATAGAAACATATCTTCTTGATATTTACGTAAGTTCCTCGGCCACCGTTTATTTTCGACGTTGAACGAGAGAAAGGAAGAGGAAACGTAGCGATCGTATAGTTCGACTGGAGTTTTCCATTAATCACGAAAAGCAGCTGCGTTAACGCCCGAAACGACATGCACGTAATCATTGTTAATTATTTGCTGTAATATATCGCGACGTTTGTAAATAAATTGAATCTTAATCGGAGAGTCCGCCTTTCCTGAACTTTTTCCCAGTTAACGAGAACTTCCTCATTAACGGTAATTTTACATCGTGCATTTTCTTCCATGTACTTTTTCCACAGAATTAATTTAACCTTACTTTCATCGTTTTCTTAAATGTATTTCAATTTCTTGTATCAAAAAATATTCGACGAATGGCGTATTTCTTAATTCTTTGATTCTGTGAAAACGAGTCTTTTCAGCCACTTTGATAGTTTTAGCGTTAACCGAAACGCATATTACGAATAATGTTATTGCAGATAAAGTGTCCCAGAGAACTGGTCCTTGACACGGAAGCCTGAAAGTAGCCAGGATCGATCAAGAAACCATCGAAACGTTTCTCCTGCGTATTTGTAGAACTAATCGGAGGTCACGTGGAGAATCGTCGTAGGGGAAAATCTGAGGAACGAGAAGGAGGAACTTCCACGCCTCCCCTTCGACCCTCGATCCACCCCTCCGTTGCGTCGTGTTTTATTTCTGATAGCGACGCCTCTGCCACCGCCGCGAGGACATTATCGCCACCGCGAAGGACCCTTTCTTCCCCCATAAAGGCAATCACGCTTTCTTCGTGGCGAGATAACAGCAGAATGGAGAGCCAGAGACGTCTCCGTTCGCGCCAAAGAATTCCACGACGATTCCATAATTCTCGAAGCTTGGTCCTACGAGCAAAGCGATTCTTTTCACTTCTCTCTTACTTTCCTAAATAGAATTCCTCTACACTCGCGAGCACATTGTTTCTGACGATTGTTTGCTGGTGTCATTTAACCCTTAGCATATCAAGCTATTGATATTTCTTATTATGAAATGGTTTTACATTTTTATTCTATCGAATGTGACACGGATACCACTCCAAAATCGAATCTTAATTCATCTACTCCCTTAAATCAGCAATGTTTCCTACGTATTTATAAAAATTTTGAAAATTATCTCCCATTTACGAGGCGGAAAGTGTGGTTCGAAATTATGAAAAGTAACCTAGGAAGTTTCGCGATTTCGTCGTGCCTAAGGAAAAGAAAGCTCGAGCACGAGGGAAGGAGATTCTTGGAAAACGTGGGCGTTTAAAATCCGAAGGAGGGCACGAGGAACGACCGGAAGCCCGAAGAACCGACGTAGACTCGAAATGCACGGTGGGTGTTCCGATTCGAAAGTGATTACATTTGACTTGGATTCGTGCCTCCTTACGGCAAAGGCAGCCTCCGCTGGTACAGAGCCTCGGCAACGAGGACATTCTTCCCCGACAATACCTCCCACAATCGAGCGAGCAGCACTTCCGCGCATACTAATGGAGAGGCGCCTAGACTCCTTTGGCCAGCCAGTAGTCGACGCCCCAATCCACCCTTCTCCCCCCTTTTCACCCCTTTGCACGCCACCGTGGAAAACTTCTCCTAGCACGAGGAAAGACGTCCCCTTCTACCCCCTAGTTTCTATCAGAAAAACACCGGGATAGATTTTTCCTACAAAGTCGAAGAACGGTTCGAGAAATTCTTCTTCTCTTCTAATCGAAGACGTTTCTTAAAAACGGACCCATAAACTGACACGGAGAATCGAAGTTTTGGTTAAATCGCGTTAGAGGTTTCAGGTTTAACGGAGACCAAGTGTCCACGATTAAAAATTTTCGATGGTTGTTCTTAGACATAACACTGTCATGGATTCGTGACTATACTTTACTTTATACTATACCTTCGTTAGAAATGACAAATTTCTAAGCCGCATCCCTTTCGTCCCTCTGTCTTCGCGAGCTACCCCTAACTCGCATCGCGCGGTTCCAAGGACCTCCGCGATTTCGCGAGAGGCCCGTCCAGGACACTCGAACGCAAAGGAAACGAGTCGAGGACACGGAGGAGAAGGCACGCAACTCGATAGACGTTTTAATTGCGTCGGTGCGCAATTATATAAGCGCTTTTGTAGGCTCCGCGTGAGAGGGAGCCGAGCGCATCGCACGAATCGTTTGATTGCGGAAAATGACGGGCGGCGATGGCGCGAGTGGAAGTTTTGAGTGGGCGTCGGTCCTGGCAGACAATGAGGCATTCAGGGGTGGCATTGTCGGGCCGACAACTGCGTTACCGTAGACAAACCCGAAATCACCGGCGCTATCGCCGTCCCAGATCCGATTATGCGAATAATAAAATGCAGCGAAACAGAGGAAGCGACAGAGAGTGAGAAAGAAAGAGAGGGGGCAGAAGGGATACAATGTGGTGAAACGGGGGGAAGAAAGAAAGCGGAGAGAAGTTTGTTAATAGCATCGGTACCGCGTCCTCTTCTT